AATGAAATTTCGATCAACCTCCACATGCTTTGTACGGTCATGTTGTACAGGATTATGAGCAATTGCAATCGCAGCCGTATTGTCACAATAAAAATCCATGGGTTTTTTAGGCCTAAAACCAAGGTCTTTCAACAATCTCCTCAACCATAGTAACTCAGATACACCATGGGCCATTCCCCGATACTCGTTCATATCATAGGTTTGTATGGACCCTATGAGTTCTTGAACTTTCAAGGTGTTCAAGTCACGGATCTTTTCAATAGCCGTGATCTTTGGTTGAAACCATTGAGGCAAGGATCTCAAAATCTTTTTCACAACCCTATCTTCTGGAATTTTTTCACCTAAACTTGAACAAGCATTCACAATTACACAAAGTTTAGCATAAAATTCAGAAAAAGTTTCATTCTTATCCATCATGAGTGTCTCAAACTGTAAAATGTGCATTTGAAGCTTGGCTCCCTTTACAGTATTTGTTCCTTCATAAGTAACCTGCAAAATATCTCAAGCTTCCTTAGAAGTATCACAACCATATATATATTCAAATTGATCAGAAGAGACAGCAATAAATAAAGCATTTAACCCCTTTTGATTATTAGTGCTGTGTGTGACTTTTGTAGTGGTCCACTCCTCTCTAGTTTCAGGGACTGTGGTTTCTTCATCTCCTTTTCCAATCTTCTTGTGGGTTTAGGAAATCCACAAACCACTGTATTCCATACACGCTCATCTAAGGACCAAAGAAACGACTTCATTTTACCCTTCCAAGCACCATAGTTGTTGCATCGAAATATAGTGGATGTGCAACTGAGCCCACGGCACAATCCATCCTACAGTATGTCGTATCCAAGGTCTTAAATATCGGTTGTCTCGGAAATATCGGTAGGCCAAAAACACGGAAATTTCGATGGAAATATCGGGATATTATTGATATCCATAAAAATTGAATAAAAACCATGGAAATTGTAAGAAAAACTTGTAAATTTTTATTGAAACTTTGTAGGATGTTTATTTAGGCAATTATCTATTAGTTTATCATAAAAAAATGGAAGGAAATGCATTACATGATGGATTTAACTGATTTAAGTTGATTATATAGCGAGCTGGCAAACACTGTGAGTGTAGAAAATATATAGTAATTAATGAAAAAAGATTAAAAACACCATAATCAAAAGAAATTCACAACAAAAGGAATGGTGATTTGTTTCTGTACACCCCACATCTAGGCCCCAAACAAAAGAAATTCACAACAAAAGGAATGGTTATTTGTGATTATAAACTACATATCAATTGTGACTGGACGCATTTTATTTT